AATTGCAAAGCTGTATTCTGGTAATGATTGCAATAAAAGCAGATGCTTCATGAAGTTCATGGGGAACAAGACAAAAGGGGGCACGCTTGGTTTCCAAGATTGGAGAAGATGTACAGTGCCCAGTAGGCATACGGGTCCCATTCGTAACTGTGGTGTTTTTAAAATAAAAATTTATTTGAATTTATGTTTTCTTTTTTTTCTTTTTTTAAGGCTGCCAAGTTATGGGGATACAATTTTTTGTTGTGTGGATCTCAGTACTTAAACTGAACCTAACAAGGACTTCTTTTGACCCAGGGAGCTTCTGCATTACGTAGGATGGTGTGCCTGAGGGTACCAGGGTGGCGCTTGCTCAGACCTGGCTGCTTTATTTTAATACCTTTTTAAAAAACAGCAATATTTATTTTACTCTCAGATATAAAAGGAAACTCCTCATAAATGACTATGGAAGAGAGAGAAAATCATCATCAGGAAGGTAAAGGCCGTGTAAATATTTCTTTTCTAATTTGACAGACCTGTAATTTGTTCTTAAAAAAATTGTGACTGTCAGAAATACTGATTATTGCCGTAGAATTTAATACATTCTTTACTCATTTGGAATACTGTGTCTGTTGTGTACTAAATTCCCATAGATACAGAGTCTCTGGACTGCTTAGGGTTAATATGGTTGGGGATGTGGAGCAAATCCTCCATTATTGTGTTTTGACATTTTTTTGACTTACCTTATGTGGGGATCTTAATTACAGGGCTTATTCTGTTAATCTTATTTTTTCAGTTCTGATTCAAAGGAGTCTATGTCTACTGTGCCGGCTGACTTTGAGACAGATGAAAGTGTCCTGATGAGGAGACAGAAGCAGATCAACTATGGGAAGAACACAATTGCCTACGATCGTTATATTAAAGAAGTCCCGAGGTAGTCCTGTCTCAGTGGCACGTCTTGAACCAGCCACGTGGCATGGCATTACATTTCTTTTTTTTTTTTTTTTTTTTTTTTTTTTTTTTTTTTTTTTTTTTTTTTTTTTTTTTTTTTTTTTTTTTTTTTTTTGAGATGGAGTCTCACCCTGTTGCCAGGCTGTAGTACAGTGGCATGATCTCAGCTCACTGCAACCTCTGCCTCCCAGGTTCAAGCGATTCCCCTACTTCAGCCTCTCGAGTAGCTGGGACTACTGGTTCGTGCCACCTGAGGTTACCTGAGGTCGGGAGTTCGAGACCAGCCTGACCAACATGGAGAAACCCCATCTCCACTAATAATACAACAATTAGTCAGGCATGGTGGTGCATGTCTGTAATCCCAGCTACCCAGGAGGCTTAGGCACGAGAATCGCTTGAATCCAGGATGTGGAGGTTGCAGTGAGCTGAGATTGCGCCACTGCACTCCAGCCTGGCCAACATGGTGAAACCCCATCTCTACTAAAAATCCAAAAGTTAACTGGGTATGGTTCTGCATGAAGCATACTGAATTGAATATGGTTGAACCCTGGAGGCAGACGTTGTGGTGAGCCAAGATCACACCATTGCACTCCAGCCTGGGCAATAAGAGCGAAACTTCGTCTCGAAAAAAA